TCCCTCAAATTCCTGTTGGTGTTCTCCATAGTACCGCCATCAGCTGTTTCAGCTGACACACCGCTACGAGGCCGCTAGGAGGCCGCAGGTGCGCTTCTTGGCTGCCGGCAAATGGTTCACTCGCTGTTCATTGGCTGTGGGCCAACAGCCGTCACTCCCCCCTCCCCCTCCCCCAACCCTCCCCCCAAAGTGATTCATCCACACCCACACCCACCGCACTCCTCCCTCTCCACGACCCACACCCCAGCCCTCTCGTTCCCCCTTCCTCTCCCCTCCTCCTCCTCCCCCCCCCCTCCTTCCCTCACTCCCTCCTGACTCGGTATGGGCTGCGGCTCGTCGCGGGCCGTCGACGACGACAAGGCCGGCGAGAGCTCGGCGCCTGAACGCAGGCCGGGTGGCGGGCGGAAGGATGCCAATGGCGGACAGACACGGGCTTCGGCAATTGTAGAAGACGATGATCCGTGGGTGGGCCTGCCGAGCAAGCACGTCCCGGAGCCGATGGTGGCCAAGGCGCAAGAGAGCGAGACCGCCCAGGCTGCTCACGACGCCGCCATCGACGACGATGCTGATGCACTGCGCGACGCGCTGCGTGAGGCCGGTGGCGAGGTCGACGCTCTCCTCGACGATGACGAGTACACACCGCTGCATAGCGCCGCCGAGTACGGATCGGACGAAGCGGTCAAGGTGCTGATCAAGGCCGGGGCTCTCCCGCACCGCGGCACCGCCGCCGGCCACACACCGCTCCACTGCGCGGCCGAGAACGGCAACATGGCCGCGCTGGCTGTCATGCTGGGTGTCAAGCGCGTTCGTGTTGATGTTCACGACGCCTTTGGCCAGACACCGCTCTTCCTCGCCGCCCATGCCAAGCAGGACGATGCCATCGAAGCGCTACTGGACGCTGGCGCAGACCCGGACATCACCCACACCGACCCAGAGACACAGGACGAGACCTTGGCGGCCCGCGCCTACGTCGACGCCCACGCGCGGACTGCCACCCGCCCGTCCAAGGCCATCCTCAAGAAGCTCGAAACCGCCAAGGCCAAGGCCATCCTCGATTCCACCGAGCGTCCTCCGCCCGAGGCAGACTCGGGCTCAGAATCAGGCTCGTGTGAGGACTGGAAGGCTAATCTCGAGCATCTCAACCGGACCAACTCGAACGTTGGCGGCGGGCAGAGCAAGGGTGGCCGCAGCGGTGGCGGGCGGAGCAAGGGTGGTCGCAGCAGCGGCGGTGGCGGCAGTGGGAAGAGATCTGCTGCCGGCGGCGGCGGCGGGCGTGGGGCCAGAAGCGGGGCCAGAAGCGGGGCCAGAAGCGGGGCCAGAAGCGGGGCCAAGGGCGGCCGTCGTCGCTGATCTGCTGTCAACCCTCTCCCTTTGAGCACGACTCTCCGGCTCGTGTTGCCATTGGACCACGGAGCCCTCACTCGATCGCCACTGTACCTCGATCGCCACTGTACCTCGATCGCCACTGTACCCATCCCCCCCCCTCCCCTCCACCACCACCACCACCACCGCCATGTCGAACCATCAATCCGGTACACCATTCCTCTTGCAGTCCCAACCACCCATTCGCAGCATGCAATGAGACAGCCATTGAACAGCCGATGGCTAGTAGCCTCCACCCGTCCCCACCCCTCTCCACCCCACCCCGCTTAACTCCGCCCACCCCCATCACATGCTCCGTTCCGGACCCCTCACACCATTGCGGACGGTGCGCGTGCTCAAGGCGGGCACCGACGACGAGTGGGAGGAGCTGCTTGCCACACCGGCCGACCTCGTCCTCGTCGACGTCCACGCCGAGTGGTGCGGGCCGACCGAGTGCCTGGGCCCCTCGTTCTCGAGGCTGACAGCTCTCGCCTCGCCGTTCTCCCTCATTGTGGCCACGGCGTGCGCAGACACCATCGGCTCCCTGGCCCAGTTCCGCGGCTCAGCGACATCGACCTTCCTCATCTACAAGCACGGCTCGCTGGCCAAGGTTGTGACCGGGCCCGATGAGGTGGCGCTGGAGAACGCCGTCGCCAACGTCGCCCCCATCGGCAAACAGCTGACTGCTGATGGCGCAAAGGCTGGAAAGCGTACCGAGGACGGGTGCACTGGACGCTCCGCCTCGGATGCCTCGTCGCCCGGCACTGACGAGGCTGCTTCCGGTGATCCGGTGATCCGGTGGCCGTCGACGGGTGGAGCACACCACTGCTCCTCACCGAACGCCACGCCACTGTCCGCCTCCCACCCACCCTCGAGTCAATCGTACTCGGCATCGGCTGGACTGTTGTCGCCTCGCCAGACTACGCTACCTCGCTCGTCCCCGAGCTTGTCGCCTACCCGCTCGAGGAGCATTCATCTGACCTGAGCCATCCAACAACTGTCGTCCGCCTCGATGTTGCCAACCTCACCACACCCCTTGTGGTTCAGACGAGTCCGCCGTCGAGCTCGATGGCCACACTCTCGCGTGCAGCCTCATCGAACTCAGTCCTCCCCTCAGACGCCGGCGACGTCGACGACGACAAACCAGCCATTCTCCCGCCCGACTGGCCGCAGCACGGCTCGGCAGACTCGCTCTCTGTGCCATCGTCGGTCGAAGACGACGCGTACGCACTTGTTCCGCTCCGCAAGCTCGACTCCTCAATCCGTCGCCTTGTCCTTGTCTTTCGCGTCCACCACGACTTTACTGGGGTCGACTTGCCGTCCGACTCGGCTCCGGAAGAGCCGGAGACCAATCGCGGCCGCGTCCTCACCGACACGACCTCGATCAATAGCGAGGGTATGTTGTCAGCACGTGGGCGATCGCCAAGAAGTGATGGCTCCTTGGCGTCGACACGGCCTGTGACGCCCGGCGCCGGCAACGGCGACGGCTCGCTCACCACCGGCGAGTCGCCGGACGCCATGTACGCGCACAGCATCTCACGCAACGTCCTCGCCATTCTCAAGCCTTTCCACTTTTCGAGCTACGTCCGGATCATGGATCCGGTGACCCAGAACGAAGTGACCTCGTACTCGGCGCCGCTCATTGCGGTCGACCCGACCACTACCTTTTGTCCGATTCTCATTCTGTGCGTCCACGCTGATGGCGCCGTGGCCATCGCGCAGGCCGACACGTATGAGACTATGACCGACGCCGCCTTTCTGCGCTCCATTGAGGAGGCAGCAAGCGTGCACGGGTAGCGCAGAGTAGACTAGCTGGTGGGTGGTGGCGCAACGACTTTTAGTTGAGGCCGGCGCGCTCGATGCCCCAGACGGCAATGATGGAGAGCGGGTAGAGAGTGAGGACAACAATGCCCGAGAGCAGGGTGTGGGTCTTCTTGAATGCAAAGAACGCCATGATGAGCTGGACGCCGACAATGGAGATGGTCTCGGCCGAGTAGATCCACTTGAGCGAGCGGGCCCAGACAATGGCGAGGAAGATGGCGAGGCAGAACGAGTTGTTCATGCACGCCGCACCGAGGAGGGTCGAGAGCGAGATGGTGATGGTCTTCTTGGTCTTCTTGGCAGCATAGTTAAAGGCGGCAATGAGCTCGGATGCGTTCGACGCCAGCGGGGCAAGCACAAACGAAATGTAGAACGGCGGAATGTGGGTCCGCGCGCCAAACTCTGACAGCACGTCGACCATCGGGTCGGAGAAGAGCAGGACGAGGACGGTGCCGAGACCCATGAGCCATGCCGACCGCATCTTGATCTTGCGCTGCTGCTCCTCCGGCGAGAGCGTCCGCAGGTCCTCAGGCATCTCCTCTTCCTCCGAGTCGTCGTCGTCCGAGTCGCCAATGGCGTCGTGGACCTCGTTAATGGCTCCGGTCACCCGCATCTGCCCGCGCTCGGCAGCCGACGCATGGTCGCCATCCGTCCGCCGCTGGATGAGCTTGAGGCAGCCCACCGCAAACTCCTCAAAGTCGATGGTCCCATCGTTGTCCGTGTCCAGCTCGGTCATCATGTCAGCAACCTCGTCGTTCGTCGGCTTCTCGCCTAGGTCCGAGAGCAGCAGAATCAGCTCGCTCGAGTCGATCGAGCCGTTGCCGTCGCGATCGTACTTGTTGAAGAATGTCTTGAGCGTCGACCGCAGCCGGTCGCCGCGGTTCGTCTCGCTCAGCAGTGCCGTGCCGGCAGAGTTCGGCTGCGACATCATCTCCAGCTCCTGCGCAAACGCGCCCGACAGTGAGATCATCGAAGCCTGAATGGCCTTCTTCCGCGTTGCATCCACCTTGTCCTTGGACTGCTCGTCGTCCGAGGTCTTGACCTGGTACCACAGGTAGCCCACAAACGAGAGGAAGGCATAGATGAGGCCCGCAAACGCCCACCACCGCTCGCCCTTGGACTTGCACTTGTTGTCGTCACTCTTCAGCCCGCACGAGAGCCCAAACGCAGGGCCCTGGATGATGATGTATGCCAGCGACGTAATCACCATGATCTTGCCTGCAATGGCAATCGACGGCCCACAGTTGACGCCAGTCCGCGTCAGGCTCATCGAGCCCGGCGGCGAAAGCTTGGCGCCTGCAGGCGCCTTGTACGCACCCTTGCCGTTGCGGTCGAGCGAGACCCGGCCCGCAAGAATCGAGAGGAACCATGGAATGGTGAGGAGCATGATCGTCGAGCCCGCAAGTGCGCCCACGCCCACAGAGAGCTGCTTCTGCGCGTCAGGCCCCAGCCCGGAAAACAGCACAATCGCCCCATCGGGCACCGCACCCAAAATCGGTAGCACCACCGATCCTACAATGCCTGCCAGCGAGGGCACAAGAAGCAGCAGCTCGGACCCGTCAGAAATCATGTTCGACGAGGTGAAGAGCACGTAGCCGTACACCGCCATAAGAAACACAAGCTGCACCATACCGTTGCCATCTTGCGGCAACTCCTTGGGATCCACAAATAGATTCGAAAGCGCAGTTCCCATCTCTGTCTCCCCCCACAATACTCGTCCACAGTCAGTCTCTTTCCTCCCTCCCCTCCCCTCCCCCCCCGCCGCTCTCTGGCAGAAAAACAGCCAAAAATTACTGAGGCCCTTTGCTTTTCCCTCCCTTCCCGCACCCGCACCACCGACCACACATAGGGCTCGCAGACACTGATTCCCGGCGAGCAGACCAAGGAATGGCATGACCAAGGGATAGTTCAAGCAACGCACTTTGTGCTTGACCAGTACCACTGGATCTCTCCATCGCTATCGTCTGCGGGCAACCCCGCCATTGTAGCAGCCAGCTACCCCCACGCGGCTAAAGGGCAAGCTGGGGACGCACCGCTGTCGACCACCCGTTGCGAACACCCGTTTTGGCCCGCACCGCGACAGGCAACACGGCTGGCGATACGCCTGTACGAGCACTTCTGGAGCAGCCACGGGCTACAAGACTGCCGTTCACACACTCTTCCTTCCTCTCTTATCCCCTCCTCATCCTCAACACTCGGGGCGGTCCACGTACCTGCTTGTTGTGGAGGGGTGGCTCCCGCTGTACCTCTCCCGCCTCCGCCCCCGTACGTCCATCCAACGAACCGCTGCAAACAAACGAACGAGCGAACGATGCAAACGAACGAACGAAACGAACGAACGAACGATCGAACGAATGGTCAAGCGAACAGTGTTCCTGCGTTCGCCTCAACCTGCGCAGGAAGCCCGAGTCGAGACAGCGGGAGATTGGCTCGTGCGAGCCATACGGATGTGGTCGAGGTCGAGGTCGCGGTCGAGGTCGAGGTTGAGGTTGAGGTCGAAGTCGCGTCTGCTGTTGCCGACATGCGACACATCGCTCTCGAGCAAGCCACACTCTCCCGCCGAAAGTACTCAAGCGGGTGGAGGCTGAGGCGCGGAGAGCTGCCCGGCTAGCTGAGCATGGCAGACACAGTCGCAGCGAGTACGACGACGGTCGATAGAGACCTGGCTCTCGCCACCCTTCTTTCCGAGTTCCACGCCCTTGATCTTGCCGATGTTGTGGCCATGGTGCTGGATGCATGCGGGGGGCATGTGGCGGTAGGTTGATCGGCGGGCGAGGAGATGCTGCAGCCGTCGCGCTCGGAACGCCCACACCGGAGGGACTCACACTCGGGGAGCGTTGGACGGCAATCGTGGGATAGGAGGCGCGGGAGAACCTGGCGATCATGGCCTCGGCGCGGCGGTCAAGTGCAATGTCGGGTAGCCGCGTCCGGCGATCGCGGCGAACCCGCCGTCGGCGGTCGGGCCGGCCCCAAGCGGGCATGGAGTCGTCGTCCCGCGGCGATGTCGGCGGTGGCGACGATGGTGACGATGCCGGAGCCCAAGCCGGTGTCGCAGGCGATGGCGCGGCCAAGTGCAAGCGCAAGCATAGAGAAAAGGGCAATGGCAAGGGCAAGGGCAAGGGCAAGGGGCGGGTGCGCAAGCCTTCGCGTCGCAAGAAGCTTCGTATCGCAGAGCAGAACAGATTAGAGGCGTTGAAACGGGCGCGATTGTCGGCGGGCGCGACCGAGGATGAGTTCATGGCCGAGGTCGAGGCTGACGGCCGGAGCAAGCTCATTGCAACCGGCAACACTGCAGAGATCAATGTGATCACGCCGCCGCGACCGGGTGCCAAGCTGTTGGTGCTCGATCTCGACGAGACGCTGTACGACTTTCGGTCAGCAGACGAGAAGATTGCGCACAAGGTGCTCCGGCTAAAGAGGCCACATGTTGACGCGTTTCTGGCCAAGGCCTACACCTACGGCTATGACCTCTGCATCTGGTCGCAGTCGTCGTGGCGGCGATTGGAGACGATCCTCACCGCGCTGGGTCTACTCACACACGAGGCCTTCAAGTTTGTCTTTGTCCTCGATGTCTCGTCCATGTACAATGTCTCGCGGACTGATGCACAGGGCAACATCGTTGTGCACCAGGTCAAGGACCTTCACTTTATCTGGGGGAAGTTTCCAGACTTTTACACACCGTGCAACACACTGCACATCGACGATCTAGCGCGGAACATGTGCATGAATCCGGGCAACGGCCTAGTCATCAAGCCGTTCAACCGCAAGCTCCGCCGCTCGGCGGTGCCTGACAACACCCTTGCGCTCCTTGCCGACTACCTCTTCCTTATCGCACACGAGCCCGACATCTCGCTCCTCAACCACGCCGGGTGGGAGCTTGCCGTTGTACAGGCACGCTCGCCACGGCCGGAGAAGCCGAGCAACTCTGCATCATCGGACACGACCAACTCCGGTTTGGCAACTGGCGGCCGAGTCGGTGATGAGATCGGCTATCACAACGGCGGCAGCGGCGGAGGCAACACGTCAGGCCCGCCGCCGGCGTATGCAGCACACGAGAACGAGAGTGGAGTGCTCTCTGGTCGCGGCAGCGATATGGGGACCAATGACGGCGCCGGTGGTCCCATCGGCGGCGTCGGACGCGCGGGTGCAGGAGGCAGCGTGGCCAGTGACAGCTGGAGCACCGAGTCGTGAGGCGGGAAGTAACACACGTCTGGCATTGAGCCGCGAGGGCACAAGCATGGACACACTGGCGTCAACGCAGCTCCCGCAACCCGGGACGCGGGCCATTGCCTTTGTAGGCGGCGCTGAGTCCATCATGCAATGCGCTCTGTCCGTCCGCGAGTACGTTCCAAAAGGGTCGTGTTTTGGCGCGCGGAGTGGCGGGCGGGCAACAGGGCCAGCACCGCGGGCGCACAGAACGCAGAGGCACGGACAGGTGGAGAGATTGACTCACATGCATGGGGCTGCGGGGTGCAGTGATGAGACATATGCGCTGCTTGAGGGCGACAAGGCGCTGCGGGCCAAGGTTCACTCGGGTATGGTGGCGTACATGCGGTTCACGCTGCGGCGGCTGAGTAGCGACGTTGCTGAGCCCAACCTGGGCATCACGTGGCAGGCTGTGGAGCCGGGGCTGGTTGGCGGCGTCATCGCCATCCATGTCGAGTACAAGCGGGCAAAGCTTCTCCCGCGCCTGGCTTGGCGGAAGGTGCGATCCTCGGGGCAGCCGATGCCAGGTGCCGACTTCAAGTTCCGGGCAACGCTGGCGGCGGTGCCCACCACAGCCCGGCCGCGGCTTGTTGTCAACCCGGCGGTGGCGTCCAAGGAGAACGCAGCGCCAACGCCAGGCTCCAAGCGGAAGCGGGAGGACGAGGCCGACTCGGATCTGGATCAGGGGGACGGAGGCCGGCCATCCAAACGCCCGGGCCGGGACTCGCGCTCAAAGGCCAAGACATCCTCATCCAACAAAAAGACGGTGAGCAAGAAGAAGTCGGTGAGCAAGAAGAAGTCGGTGAGCAAGAAGAAGTCGACGGCAAAGAAGTCGACGGCAAAGAAGAAGTCGACGGCAAAGAAGAAGTCGACGGCCAAGAAAAAGTCGGTGAGCAAGAAGGCGGCCAAGGGCGACGACGGGAGCAGTGGTGTTGCTGATGATGCCACCGAGGCAGGAGCATCGGCGCAGCGTCGCTTGTTGCGGCCGTCGAGATCGGCGTCGCGCAAAGTCAGGGAGATGGAAGCAATCTTGAGCAACGACAACGGCGCCGCGAGCGATGACTCGGAGACAGAGTTTCTCACTCGCAAGCGCACGGCGGGAAAGAGCAAGAAGAAGCCTGCAGCAAAACCGTCGCGGACATCAGGCACGAAGCCGTCACGGACTTCGGCCTCGTAGTCCTAGTAGAGACTGATCCCCCTCAAGATCCGGCCTTGAGGGGGTGGGCGCTGTCCCATGGTACGCTAAATGACAGTCGGGCTGGTGCGGTTGTGGGGGCACGGTGTCGAGGTCGAGGGCGACGACCACTCGCCCCGGTCTGCCAACCCTCGACTCCGTCGCACGCACCCAATACCCAACATGGCCGAGTTCAACGAGGCGCTTGCTGGGGTGGTGGAGGCCGTGCGCGAGGCACGGTACTCGGCGGCGACGCTTGCGGCGTTGTCGGAAGCCGCCGCGGCGTCGACGGCGCTGCAGGCGTCTGTGCTGGAGCGGCTGTACCCCAAGGTGACGGGCCTGCAGCCGCTGTCTGTCGAGCAGACACGGGTCTTGCTGCAAGTCCTCGCCACATTGCTGGAGGCGAACTCGCATGCACGGGTCTCGCAGTGGTCGACCTTTGTGCTGCAGCGCATTGCGGCGCCCGACGCGGCGCTGGCGGACAACGTCCAAGCGACGGCGCTCCGGATGCTGGCCTCGTCGTCGGCCCTCACGCTGCGGGTCCTCTCGGCGCACGTGGCCGAGGCGGCGCTCGGATCGGTTGTGCCCGGTGAAGGCCCGGTCGGCGCACTGCTGCGCGGCGTGGCCAACGCGGCGCCTGCAGCGGTCTCGGCCATCCTGGTCACCATGCTCACGTCGGACGACGATCTGGAGGCTGCGGCATCGGCGGGAGATCAGGAGGCGGCCGCGACCGATGATGCCAGTGCATCGCCGCGGCTGGTGGCCACGCTGCGGCTGCTCAATGCGATTGCGCTTGACCAAGGCTCGCGGATGCACGAGCTCTTCACCCCCGAGCTTCTGACAGTCCTCCTCCGCGACATGGTCATCTCGCCTGCTGCGGCTGACGATGTTGTGGTGGCGGCGTCGGTCACGCTCTTCATGCTAATCCCGCTCCTTCCACCCCTCTTTGTTCCGCACCTCGACGACTTGTTTTCGGTGCCGTGCGCGCTGATGACCCGCATCGAGGCCGGTCTGGAGGTGCTGGACGAGGCGGTCGCGCCCGAGTTGGAGGCACGACCGGCCCAAGTGGTGCTGGCGGAGCACGGTGATGGCCCGCTCCCGCTCCGGCAAGTTGTTCAAATCTACTTTGCCCTTCTGTATGGCATGTTCCCCACGAGGTTCTTTGCCCGAATGCGCGAGGTCTTTCTCGCACCAGGCTCGAGCGCGTGCACCAAGACCACCATTTACCAGTGCATGTCGCGGCTGCCGTTCAACCCGTCGTCGCTGACACACACGCCCGAGCTTGGGGCGGAGCGGTGGCACAAGCCGGCGACAATCATCACCACCTGCTTTGGCCTTGCCAGCCCGGGCGCGGCAGTGGCGAGCCCAATGCCGGCGGCAGGCTTGGCAACATTGGTCAACGACCTCTACTCGCATCACTTGTATGCCGAGGACGAGGGTGGGAGCGGGGGCGGGGCCTCAAGCGGTGGATCGAGCGCGCCGCAGCACCCGCTGATGGCTCTCTTGGAGCCGCAGACCGAGAACAAGGTGTTGACAGTGCTACACGAGGTGGAAGAGCTACTGGCGGAGAGCAGCGACGGGCAGCACCCGGGGCCCGCGGCGCTCCGCGTTCTACGTGTGGAGGCGTCGCTGCTGCTGGAGCGGTTCTGGTGCGCGATGCACAAGGAGCGAGTCCGGCTGCTCTCGCGCGACATTGTGGACTCTGCGGAGCGCGAGGCGCAAAACATGGCGCTCTTCCGCAAGGTGCAGAGCCAGCGCGGGGCGATCCAGGCATTGCACAAGGATGTGGATGCCGAGCGTGCACGAGGAGCTGTGGCGGCGGAACAGCATGCAGCGGCAGCAGCGGCGCTCAAGGTGCAGCTCGACAGCGCGCAGGCGCGGATTGCGACCCTAGAAGCGATGGGCGCAGCCAAGGACGTCGAGCTGGAGCAGGCGAAGCAGAGCCTCCGCAGCGCCGAGGACGAAATCGCGCGCAAGAACGAGACTCTGCTCTCGCTGAAGGCCAAGCTGGCCACGGCGCTGCCGCTGCTGGAGCGCCAGGCGAGCTACGAGGCGTCGCTCGAGTCAATGTCACACGAGCTGCTCAAGTGGGAAAGCCAGGCGCGGCCCAACGAAAGGCCAGCGAGCGGGCGGCCGAGCTCTCTGCGGCGCTGAAGATCCACAAAAACGTCGAGGCCAAACTTCAGGTGAAGCTGGCCAAGGCCGAAGCCGAGATCAAGCTCTTGCAGTCGTTTACATCGCAGGCGACTTCGCGGGTCTCGTCGCTACAGACCGAGAACGCTTCGCTACACGAGGCGGTGGAGCGGGCGGCCGACCTGCTTGCGGCGCAGCAGGCGGCGGCCGAGGCTGCGCAAGCTGCGCTGACCGCCAAGTACGAGTCGGCCAAGGCAATCAATGCAGCGCTGATGTGTAAGCTGGAGAGCGGCGAGCAGTAAAGGTTGATGCACACCGTGTTGGCGTGCAGGAAACGCCCGTTGACTAGCCGTCGAGGGCTGCGACGACGGAAGCGCGATTGGCTTTGGCCTTTTCGTGCGAGGGGTCCAGCTGGAGGGCAGCGTCGCACTTTGTGAGTGCCTCGGCGTAGTTGTTGTGGCGGTAGTGGAAAAAGCAGTAGTTGGCGAGAGTATCGGCCATGGCGGGCGGCGAGACACCCGGGGTTGTGGCGGCGGCCTCAAAGTGCGCGGCGGCGGCGGCGACGTCTGCAAAGTGCAGGTCCTTGATGTACGCCATGTTTGTGTGGGCCCAGGCATGCTCGGCGCCAGAGAGGCCGATTTCGAGGGCGCGCTCGTAGCGCGAGATGGCTTCTGCGAAGAGACCTGCACCGATGAGCTTGTTGGCGCGCTTGAGGAGGTTTGTGGCGGTGTTGGTGCCGGAGTCGTCCGAGTAGGCATCGGCCTCGTCAAACGAGGTGAGGACAGGAACAAAGGCGTACATGGCAAGCTCGTTGCGGATAGCCGGTGTGTGGAGAAGGAGGTCGACGTCGTAGAGGATGGGCGATTTGGCGTAGAGATCGAGCAGCTTGCGGGCGCCGCGGGCCGAGATAAGATAGCCCCACATGCCCTCTGACGGGCCAGGCGAAATGATATGGTCGGAGAGGCGAACGTCGTCGCGGTTGTCGTAGTGTGAGATGACATTTTCGTCGGTGAGGAGCATGCGGGTCTCACCGACAGTGAGGCGACCGGTGTACGCGATGTCCCATGCCGGGTCGAGGGCATTGAGCTCGGCCATGCGGGCCGGCAGCGCCTCCACAAGATCGGCCGAAAAGGTGGCGTCGTCCTCAAGAACAAGCATGGAGGCAAGGCCAGCCGAGGCGGTGCGGGCCCAGACACGCGAGTGCGACATGAGGTTGCCAACCAGGCCCGGGGTGAGATCGCGGATGGCCTTGGCGTTGTACATGGCAACCTCGAACGAGGAGAGGACCTTGCCGTCGACGGCCGGGAAGCGCAGAGCGCGGAGTCCTGCGGCAGAGAGTGCAGCCGAGACAGCGGAGAGTCGATCACTGCGGCGCTTGAGATTGATGACCACCACAGAGTCAATGAGAACCTTGCTCGGATCGACCGGGTGGCACAGCGCCGAGGCCGACGGCAACTGCGACGGCGCTGCCGAGCACTTGAACGGGCCGTCATCAAGGGCGGCGCCAAGGCGAGGAGGGCCTGCAACAGCAGGTGCTGCCAGAGCCAGGGTAAGGGCCAGGGCCAGAGCCAAGGCGGGAGGGGGCATGGGGAAGGGGAGACAGGAGTGCGAGCGAGTAGGAGAGTAGGAGAGAGCGAGCGACTGCCACTGCCACTGCCACTGCCACTGCCACTGCCACTGCCACTGCCACCGCCGCCAATATGGCCACTGCCACTGCCACTGCCACTGCCACTGCCACTGCCACTGCCACTGCCACTGCCACTGCCACTGCCACTGCCACTGCCACTGCCACTGCCACTGCCACCGCCGCCAATATGGCTAGGCCAATGACCACGGGTGAGCAAATTGGTCTTGCCTTTCGTTCTCGCTCACTCGTCGCCTCGCCTGCGCGCACGCGTCACACCCACCTCCCCCTCCCACCTCCACTCCACCCCACGCCACGCCACACCCACACCTTACATCCCACACACCTCTTCGCCTCTCCACATATGGACTACACCCTGCCTCCGCACGTGGTGGCGGTGACCCGGGCGGCTCATGAGCGGTTGGCCACCCTGCGCGCCGTGGCCGAGTCGACCGGCACCTTGCCACGCGCTGCCCTCCTCGCCAGCGCAGCCTTTCACAACCCGGCCATGCCCACCCGCCTCCTTGCCCTCCATGGGCTCGATGGAAACGTTTCGGGCGTCCTCGATCAGTGGATCCCGCCCGTCATGCGCGATGTGCCCATCGACGCCTCCGCCCTCCTCGCCGCCGCCAAGGCCAAGCGCTCTGCCATGCTCGCCTCGCGCTCCTCGATCGCCTTCAAGCCCGCCACTGGCGGTGGCATCCCCATCGATTCCGGCTCGTGGCTCCCGCCTCGCGAGCGCTCGCTTGATGATGGTCTCGCCGTCCCGCAGCCGCGCGCTCCGCCGGCTCCGCGCCCGCCCGTCGCCCTCGATCGCGCCTCGCGCCTCGAGCGCCGCTTTGCCGCTCTCGCCCCCGCCGCGCCCGCCACGCTGACCAACGCTCCGTGGGCGTTGTCGACTCCGCAAAAGTCGCCCATCTCGCAAATCGCCCTCAACATGCCTGCCGAGGCGTCTGCAGTCGCGCCCGCCGCACCGCAGCCGCATCCTGTTGCTCCTTCGTCCGCGCTCCTGCAGGCAACAGCCTCGCACTCGGCCCCTCCGCCGGTCAGCACGCAACAGAGCCGCAAGCGAACCCGCGAGCCGGAGCAAGACGCCGCATCCACCGCCGCCACCGGGACCGAGCCGGCGTCGGGGCCGGCCAAGCGGGCCAAGCCGCTCTCGCTCGGCCAGCTCCTCTTCTCCTCCAAGCCCATCGACTCGTCCGAGACTGCGACACTGAAGTCGTTCTCGGCACCGCTCGTTGTCGGAACACCGCCAGCCACCGGCTCCCGCCAACCGCTGCCGGCATCACCTGCCGCTGCGCCTCCCGGCCTTCGCCCGTCGGGCCTCACACCCAAGTCCTCGCCGCAGTCCTCGCCCACCCCGCCGAACACATCGCCATCGTCCGCGCTCCCACCGCCGCCTCCAGGCGTTACTCGTGCCGCATCGCAGTACCTCTACAAGCTCCGTCGCGTCGACGAATACGTCCACTAGTTGGGCCCCGGCTCGGTAAAAGCGCCAAGGCGCCACACTGCCCCGCGCCACCCCGCCTGGCCACCCGCTCCCACTCCACTCCCGCCGTAGAACTCCCCCAACACACATCCATGGAGAAGGAGGACGTGTGGTCGGCGGTGCTCCGCACGGCCCACGAGCTGGCCCAGCCCGAGCCGTCGGCAGAGGCCCTTGAGCGGGCCACCCTGTTCACCGCCCTCCCGCCTGGCGCTGCCGCAGCCGTCGCAGCCGCAGCCGCAGGGAGCAGCCTGGGCGCGAGTGGTGACGGCGCAGCGGGCGAGAGCGAGCCCCCGCGTGGCACTCGCGAGGCCACGCTAGTCTTTGTGGGTCCCGCCGGCGCAGGGAAGACCGCCCGTATCCAGGTCATGCTCGGCGACCGCGACGCCGGCTCGTTTGCTCCGGCCGGTGAGGGCGACGGGAGCGGACGGCGCCGGCGCGAGACCAAGCCGACCCAGGCGCTCGAGTACACCTTTGGGCGGCGGGTGGTCGGCGCCTCACTTGATGCTGCCGTGGCGCACATCTGGGAGATGGGCGGTGGGCGGATGGGTCTCGGCTCGCTGCTGGAGGTGGCGCTGCCGCCGGCCCGCGCCGCCTCGGGCTGTGTCGTTGTCGTCGTCGACCTCCTCCGCCCGGCCGAGCTGGCCGCGACCGCCCATGCCTGGCTTGAGCTTGTGGCGGGCCACGCAATCAACAAGCGGGCGGCCCGGGCTGGCTCTGCCCGAGGCGGCAGGGTGTGGGCGCGATACGGTGACAACCATCCGGATGCGCTCGCGCTCCGGGCCGGCGCCATCCCAATTGTGCTGGTGGCGGCCAACTACGACGGTGTGTCTTCGTCCGAACTTCAGGCGCAGCGTGTGGCAGCCGGGACGCTCCGTGTTCTGGCCCATGTTTACGGTGCTACGCTGGTGTACTCTGCGCTCTCGTCGCGGTCGTCGATCAAGCGGCTCAAGAACGTCCTCAACCACTACGGGTTCGGCATGCCGCTCGCCGGCGAGCCGGTCACTGACCACACCAAGGCGGTTTACGTGCCTGCCGGGAGCGACTCGTTTGAAGATATCGGGTCGCCGCCGCGGCTGGCCCGGTCGGGCGGTGGCACCATGTCCGGCGGCGGGGCGGTGCCGACCACCGGTGTTGCGCTCCTGGACGCCTGGCTCAAGGTCCACGCCGAGGTGTTTGGGCGGACCGATCCCGAGGTGGAGCAGGAACATGTCGACGCGGCCGTCGACGAGGTCTACCAGGAGCCACTCATCGACGCTATGCGTGCCGAGAAGGAGGCCGAGCTGGAGACGCTGCGCGCGCGTGCCGCTGTCCAGGGCGGGGCGCTTTTTGACGCCTAACGTGGCTGCCCATCAGCGGGCGTGGACCACAAAGCCGCACTTGGCGGCCGCGCCCGGATCCATGCGGGTGACGAAAGCTCCCAGGGCTGCCGCGGCTGCCGCAGCCTCGGGTGTCTGTGCAAGCTCCGACTCGGCGGCGGCCGCTAGTGTCGCGGCGCGGCCGGCAAAGGTGGCGTCGGTCGCGAGCTCGACTGGCGGCGTCCCAGTCCGCAGCATCGAGCTGTCATCCACCAAGTACGCGTACGCCGCGAGGAGGGCGCGGATGGCGGGGTTGGTCCAGCCGGCGCGACGGAGACCGGTGAGATTGAGCCCGACCGCCCGAGCGTCGTTGCCCTTGACGAGCGTGTGTGGGAGGACGTGTCCGCGGACGGCCGCCAGGCCGCCAACCATGGCGCCGGCGCCGATGTGAACAAACTGGTGGAGTGCGGCGAGGCCGCCAACGATGGCGCGCTCGCCAACAACAACATGGCCGGCAAGCTGCGCTGACGAGGCCAGGATGGCTCCGGCGCCGACGTGGCAGTCGTGCGCGACGTGGACTGAGGTCATGACCAGCGCGCCTGCGCCAACAAACGTCGTCCCCGACGCTGCCGTCCCGCGATGGATGGTGGCATGCTCACGGATGACTGCGTCGTCGTCAATGACGGTGGCAGTCACTTCGCCGTTAAACTTGCGGTCTTGTGGGATGCAGCCGACTGCTGCGTGCGGGAAGACCGCAACGCCAGCGCCGAGCGTGGTGTGCTCGGCCACCAGGGCGTGCGCGCCCACCGACGTGCCACGCCCCAGCACCGTAGCGCCCTCGATGACAGCATACGGGCCGACGACGACATCATCGGCGAGCACCGCGTCTTCTGACACAATCGCCGACGGATGTACGCTCGTTGACGCAAACCGCAGCATGGCAGCGCCGCCAACCGCCGACGGCGCAGCGCAAGTAGCGGGGTTGAGCGCCGCGCGGAGCGGGGCGAAGTGAGTGGATAGCCGCAACATCCAGCAGACCAACAGCAACAAGAGAGAGGACGAGCCGTTGCAAGGAGAGCCAGGAGACACAGCGTCCGGTTATCGCACTCGTTGTCGCCCGTGAGGTGCGTCGAGTGTGGTGTGGCCGTGAGGGAGGGGGGGGGCAGTGAGGTGGATGGCAGACGGCGCGGGGAGAGAG